ATTTTATAACAATAGCATCAGATGAATATGTCCAAATTCGTTCTTCAAGCCAATTTTTTTTATAATTAACTTAAGGTGATTATAAGGTAGTATATGTTATAAAGATTATCAATTATTTGACAATGAAAGTTCAAACACCCTTTGTAGTCTCTGATGCTCGAATATGGAGTCTCTAGGGATAACAACCATCCCTTTAACCACTAAGATAACTTAGTTCGTGATATTAATATGAACAAGAAGTGATATAAATATCAATTTAAACCATATGGCTAAATTTAATTATTAACTTAGACCATAAAATTCAAATATTAAATCATATATTAACTCATTAATGATATCAATACATTAATATATTAAATCAATATAGCTTGAATTAAATCACATACATATTATTTTAAATGAAATTATAATGAATAAAATTCTATGAATGAGAAATTAATAACCATATTAGATGGTTTATTAGAATCGTGGTGTGAACAATGCATAAGTTAGTTAGTATTAATAATTTCTTAATCCAAAGGGCAGGTGGCTGATGAGTCAATGCCACTACCAAGTTGAAATTCGTTTTATTTCTTTGTTTTGTATGAAAGTGTTAATCAATATTATCCTGAGATTATGCATTATTCCTATTAGTTTAATTCGGATTATATACCTAATTAATCGTCAAATTGTAGATGGAGGTGACAACAGAGTACCAACATGACTCAGCCTATCATAAATTTGCCCATCAACGAGATATTATAGCACATTATACGTTTAATGGATGCATTTTAAGTTGAGTCATAAATAACGCATCTGTTTTTCTAATATTGTTCTTAACTATAATGTTAAAATCAACTCCAATGGTTTATCTCTTTTAGCAAGATTTTTTTTACTTCTCTCACTCTCTTTTTTAGCTATCATTAGCCACTTTTATTATTTATCTTTATGATTGACGTCGATACTAATTTTAGTGATGATTGTCAACCGTTGATGTTCATTGTCTTTTCTTTATTTTATTACATAGTATTTTATTTTTTTTAATAACTCTATATTTATGACATGTTTTTATTTGCCCTTATGACGCATTTTCTTCTCTTTTGACATTTTTTGGTCAATTAACTGTTGTTTTTCTTTATCTTTTTTTTCTTCTCATTGTTAGATTTGACATCGCCACGACTGATCAATACGACACCTATTTGTTATCATGATGATTTCCCCTCCTTTGGACCCTCATATTGAATTTGGATACGTGATTTGCATTCGTGGATAGTTTTCTCACGTCGTTCGACTCATATTTACGGTTTATCGGTGGTCTTTCAATAGTTTGGTCCCCTTTTGTGGTTTGTTTGCCAATGCAGTCAGGTCCGTTCGTATCTATATTTTGTTCGAGTTTATTTGGTTAGGTTTTTTTAACATTTTCCTTGTATGTCCATTTTTTTAGTGATTATAGGTAGGGACAGAGCCAAAATTAAATATTGACAGAGGTCGAAATATTAGACTATTTAAAAAAATAGAAATAATTATTAGGTATTTAAACTCGAAATTCAACCTGAACAAACGAACTTAGTGATTAAGGGGATTGTTGTTATCCTTGAGGTCCCGAGTTCAAGTACTGCGTATGTAGGGGTATGAGCGTTCATTGTAAAATAGTTGAAAGTAATTGTACATATACTACCTTGTATTAACTTTAAATTTATAATAAAAAAACTCAAAAAATCACGAGACAACTTATAATTTGTCTAATATTTAAACTTACAAATTGTAATTAGACTAAAAATTTGAGAATACATACTTATCATTCTTTAGTTTGACCACTACTTGATTAAATATTTAATAAATTTTTACTTTTAAATTTAAATATATTTTTTTACATAAACCAAAATATTATTAAACCAAAATTATATCGAATATACAAATATTAACAGGAGTCGGGGCCACTTGGGCTTTAAAGGAGCTTCGTGCCTGATTATAGGATAATATTCTTATTATTTGTTTAATTTACTATTGTAGTTGTAAATCTTCATTATAATTTGAATATTTTATATTTTTAATAAAACTATCGACTTCTATAAAAAATTACGGTGTTGAAATAATAAAATTTTATTAATTTTAAAACTATACATATTAAATATTTTAATTTCTACATTAGAATTTTTGATTTCGAATATGGTTTGCATACGATTTGTATGGGATGAAATTAGACCAAGTCTGAACCCATTAAACTTTACTTCGGTGATAAAGAGAGTATTACTTTTTTTTATATATAGATTTTGAGTTGTAATAGTTATGTCTGTAAAGTGTATGTACGTCGTCAATAATTAAAGAAGTCTTAATATATACTATATTATAATAACTCAGACTAATTAAAAAAATCGACAAAGTTTTGATCCCAGTGGGCCGAGGCATGCCACGTTTGTGATTTGTATTAAACTAGGTAGCATTACACGGCCTGCCCAAACATGGACTTGAAAACCCTGATGCTCTCTGTTGAAATGCAGCGTGGACCGCCCCCACCCAGCTCTGCCTTTTGTTTTCCCGACAACCAAACAATGCTAAAAGCAAGCGTGCACTTGTAACCGAACACAACGTTCAATGAATGTATGATAAATATAAAATTCTTTTTAAATATCTATAACAAATTAACAACCCATTCAACAGTCTCCTAGTCTATGTGGTGGTAGTGATGGTGCGTCAAGATATCCTAAGATGGTGGTCCATATTCGAGTTTACAGTTGCCACGTGTCCCGACATGAAATCGGCACTACCGTGGGCGATACGGCCTCCACCAAATCCCAGATGTTGTCTCCATCCTCCGTACTACTCTTATCGACACAAAGGTCTGCTTCTGGTTTTGGGATTAAACGCGTCTCCTCATTTATTTAATACGCTTTTATTACTTAATCTTTTACCTTTGAATTTTCAACACTCTCGTTGAGACAACTACAGCGTTGATGAAAGAAATTGATATGCAAAAAATGGAAGGAAATTTCATTTTCTGATTGCGAGTTGAAAAATTTCTTCAACCATATACTTCTGTCAAACTTATATCATGACTAGGGAGAATCCGATTAGTATTGGGAAATTTTCTTAAAGGTCCTCGTGCTATGAATTTTCTATGAATTTAATCCATTTATTATAATTTCATCATTTTTTATTTATTTAACTTTTTGAAATGTTTGTTTGCAGTCTTCAAACTATTATTTTTTTTTGTTAATTTCGTTAAATAATTTTACATATACACTTTGACATTTTGTATAATTTGATAAAAATACACATTCTAAAAAAATAATATAGAAAATATGTAGTATTTATATTATTGTAAAAGAAAAAAAATACAATATGCCGCATCAAAGCATGCTAAAAACCACAAATCATTTGACAAAAGTATCCCCAAATAATTTAAGATTAAAAATACATGTTTCAAATAGTAAAGGTCTAAAGAATTAATCATTGTAAAAAGGAATAAATCTGCCAAAATGCATAATAAAGGAACTTTCATAATTTTTATTTTTTAAAATATATAATGACAAATTTAACACAAACATTTACATAATTCTCTTCGATAGAAGTATATGGCACCAAACAAACATTTACATAATTGTTAGTTGAGATATTTTCTAAATTATATATAATTTTAAACCTTTTAAAAAGAGTGGACCCTAAATAGAAATGTTAAGTAAAACTATAAAATTTTAACGGTGTTAAAGTGATAATTTATATAACAATTCATATATACTTCATTTTGATATATAATAATATATCTTATTAATGAATAATTTTGAAATATAAAATATTTAAAATTAAAAAAAATAATATAACCATATGTAAACAATCATCAATCAAATCAATATAGTTAAGAATCTAATATTCTAGTTAATAATTTTGTTTAAAATTACTGGACTTTTTCTATAGAAGATTGAAAGCTAAATTTGATATATATATATATATATATAATTTTTAATACTAAATTTGTCATTATTAAATAATTGTTGTTGTTCAATCATTAGAGTACAGACGCAGTCGATAAATTAAAGTGAGCCAACACAAATATCGGGAATATAATATAGATTTCGGTATCTGATTGTCAATTTGATGTAAAGCAAAAGATTTTGCCGTTTCAATATCCATTGCATTATATTGTGAAGTTGGCACGTGGCAACCTTTCAATGACTTTCAACCCAATTCCAAACTACAAAGACAATCATTTAATAAACAATTCATTCACTATCATAATTATATAATCACATTTTATTAAATGAAAATATTTTAGTAATTAAACTTATGATATAATATATATACTACTCATTTATTTAAAGTTATGTATATATTAAAATTTTGAAACATTAACAATTAAAAAGATTTTATTCACTTTCGATGATTTGAGTTCAGATAATATAATTGTATAATTTATATAGATATGTGAGTCTAAATCTCAATATTTTTTAAAAAATATGTAAATTCATTAAATGGTAATGAATAAGTTTATAATTCCTATCCTAATTCCTAATATCTCGTATAACGCTATCCTATTTCCTATCCAGTACAACTCATTACTTTTGGTTGTTACCTCTTTCAAACCTTTTTGTTTTCTTCGCCATAACACTTGTTATCTCCACATAATTCCACGTGTATCGACACCACTCGTGCTCAGCTAAGTTCAATTTCTTATCCCCTTAAAAATTAAACTAAGACGCTGTTCCCGCACTCGTCTTCCATTAAACACGTGGAGTTCTCCAGATATTTTCGAGCCACGAAAAAGATATTTCGTATTTCGCGATCTCACGACACGTAGCGCGGCTGACGATAGATTCTCCATCACGGCTCTTGGTCGCAAGGGTTTATGAACACGCGTCCTCCCTTTATCCAATTCTCACGCACCACGTGTTATAAGAATCTAGAGCAGTAAACCATGCGTTTAGTACAAGACACGTGTCCCTTTGTTTTGAGATTCGGACATCTGGTATTTAGCCATTTAGGAGCGTTAGCGTCGCAGTCTGGATCGGTCTAGTTTCTTGTGTTCTTTTATGCCCCCTCCAAATAATGAGTCATGAGTGCCACTCAGAGACGCAGACTTAATGAAGAATTCGAGTCCGATGACTCGGCGATACTAAACGAGCGAATACTCCTACTTGTCTTTGAGTCGATAAAATGGGATTTACAGGTCCTTTGTTTAGTTTCTTCAGTGAACCACAACCTTCGAGCTATAGCAAAGCGGATACTATGGCGAAAGCTCTGCGTGTATCGAGCGCCGCGCATGGTTGCAGCATTGGCAAACGGTGCCCCCAACGGAAGAATTGGTGGCGGATGGGATGCTCTCGCGAAGCTCATGTTTTTCTGCTGCGGATGTGAGTCTACTCATCATTTCAAGGTGAGTCGGCCTAATCCGGGTCATTTCACCCCAGCTTCTCGGTTTTCCAAGACTTCGGGTCGGAGCTTCTTGGCGAAGAAGTGTCGGGGTGATTTGTTGTTCATAAGTGATCCCTGCGAGCACCCAATGGGAGTTGAAGAAGACCATTTGGGGATATATCGAGGGGTATTTCGGGGATTCATGAGATCCAAGACGAGAGCTTGCATGATCAGACGGCAAGTAGCGTTCGACGAGCTGGTGAGGTGTCCTTATTGCGGGACTCGTGTCTGGAGCATGACGGCGGCTCGGCTCGTTCCCAAGAGCGCGGCCAGACGGCTCGGCTCGGGCGACCGACGGGTGGAGTATTTCGTTTGTGTGAACGGGCACTTGCATGGGGCTTGCTGGCTCATACCTCTGTCAGATGAAGATATTTGCGACGATGTGGAGGAAGACGACGACGGAGGCGATGATGATTTGAGTGAAGAAGATCTGGACGGAGATAATGAGATCGGCGGTGACACGTGTAGCCATCAGACGGTGACAAACGGAAGCACGAGTTCGTTAGGGGAAGATGTTTTAGGAGGTGAATCCATCGATTAATTGCTACTATTTGCTAAACTTGTAAGAGAGAGAAGTGGATCAGATTGTTGGTCTCCGTGATTTTTCTGTCTTTTTTGTATTGCAAAATATGACGTGTCGACGAGGTATTGCGCCACGCGGCTTTGGTCATCCTTTTAGAAAATAGAAACTGATTGTTGGGAATCGAAAATTGATGATGTGGAGAAATTGAGACTTGCGTCTTTTTACCCAAAACTATTGCTGACGTGGATTTCATATTTAGTATAGTATGAACAAGAGCAGCCAATTATTAGTTCATACTCGTTCATTTTTTTTCATATAGACATTTAAACATAATTTAATGAAATCTAATATACTTTAATAAAATAATTTAAGCATATAATGGAGCAAAGAAATAAAATGTTATAGACCAAATTAAAAACAGGAGTTCTCAAGCCTTGGTATGTCTCTTCAATTCCAGTCTGAACACATTTTATTGATCTTTACCTGCAAGAAGGGAGTTCAAGCTCCGATTTCAATAAACAATTCGGCAGCTGCACTCATGGCTCCGACACAGCCTAGTCCGAGCAAAGCCATAGCCAGTTCTTCCTTGTTCCACCGCATCAATCCGTAGCTCAGCCTTTTCAAGACATCAGCATCGACATCCAAAACCCACTTCTGGGTGCAACCTACCATCAAGCTAACAAACCAGACTATGTATGAACGCGAAGTAGCGTAATTACATCCGAGCGATATTTTACCATCTACTGCACTTGCAAGAAATTCCAAGTGTGATCCCAGGACCTTTGATCGTCGTTTCGATGCTAGTGAGGCCGAGTCCACACCCCATGCAAATGTACCACAAAGCACTACAAAGTAAGCAAGTGCATAACCCTCCAGCATGGCAGCTATGCCTTCAGGTTCCCCGCGATCATGGTCTGGTGAGTGGGATGATATAAACGAAGGTAGTGTTTCTTTGATGAGTGATTGGACCAAGCTTAATCCACCGGAGAGCCAAACCAATGAAGCCCCAAGCGATGCAGCGAGTTTGACATGTTCCATTGCTGCACCGAGAGAAACTTGTCCATATAAAAGTCCAAACTTTGTTGTTTTCAATTTCTGCCTAGAGAACACACTACTGGCAATATCTCTTACAGAAGACATTAACAGAGAGACGATTTCTTCTGTCATAAACATGATATCTCTGATTGATCGATGCACTCGTAAGTAAAGAATCCCTGGGGAGACCGGAGACATTCCCCCAGAGAAATGAGAGCCGAATACATGGCCCAGGAGTGCTCCCACACCACCGTTGCTGTAAATGGAGGAGGGGCTTAATCCAAGAGTAGAAGTGAAGCAACTCTTAAGACGCTGAACTACAGCATCGCTACTGTGGTGGAAGACTGTACGAGAAGCGGAGAACACAAGGAAATCGTTCCAACGCTTAACCTTCTGAGCCCACAGCGAGGCTATGATGGGCATGCAAGGCCAGGGGCAACCTTCAGCCAGGGAACTCAATGCTGGGCCAATTAATACAAGGAAACGTTCAGAGGCTTTTTCGAGTTTATATGTTATGGTGAGACTAACAAGGGCAGCCAAGGGCAGAGGAAGCATAGCCGGAGAGCTCCCCCTGAGAGCAATAAAAAGGAAAAAGGAAAGATTGAGACAAAACACTAGATAACATATTGACCAAATCATAAAATTCCCTACAAAAGCTTTTCTTTCCATTTTTTCTTCTTCTGAATTACATAGAATTAAAGATACAGATAAGTTGTTCAGTGGTCAGTGTAGCTGCAAGCAACATCTACTTCAAAAAGTTACTTCTGATTCTGGAAATGCAGCTCAATAGACAATCATCTTTACCTGCAAACATAAACTTGGGAAGTGGTCACAAATATAATGGTACAAGATGATACCTATGGTAAGGCTTGGGACATCAACACCAGTGGCAGCTATAACCTTTTTAATTTGCTGCTCCACGGTGGATAAATTTGCTGCTGGACTTGGCCAATCTGATCCATTCATTCAGCAGAAAGATAGCTGACAATGGTCGCCAGAGTTGCTGGTAGGAAATCGGCAAGATCTTTGAGTCCTGTGGTAGAGGATCAATTAAAAAATCACATTGACTCCAACAGATCAGGAAGAAGCATCTATTAGTCACTTCCTCAGAAAGCTCTGCTGTACTATTTCCCCTAGTTTATGGTATACCGATATTTTTTCACGTATATGCTTGCTTTTATTAACGAAAAAGAAAGAGGACCAACCTGTGGCCAGATCACGAGGCGATAGTCTTCCATGGGCACAGGCTGTCAGAGCTGCATCAAGCACATATGGAGTGGCTTCCAGGATATCCCATGCAGGCACTTGTCTTAAAGACACGTCCTCAGGTCCAGATGTAGAAGAACTATTACATCCAGAAGCCGCAGAAGCTGCAGATTGACCTCCCCTGCTTATCTTTCTGAACATCATATTAAGGAGTGCATCGACAATCTGATGAACGGTGGTCCTTGTACAAGTTCTGACAGGGTAGAAGCAATACATTTTTGATGCTGACGGTACCAGCCTTCAACTTGGGAAAGGAATCCATAAATATGAGTTCCAAAGAGAAATTTAAAATTTTTCACAGCCTTTTAAGTTTCAAACGATCCTTGGGGAATTTTCCAAAATCTGATACTTTGGAGTTTCGAACCAATAACAGATATTCTGGAGTTCGTTGGGATCCCACCGGTGTTCCATCTCCCATCACATGTTCCAGAGGTGGATGATCAAACCTCCATAATCTCAGTAGAAGTGTAAATGCATTGGTGAATACTGCATGACTAGTCAGCTCTTCCCCTGTTTGGAAGAGTCCATGAAATATCGGGAGAAGTTGTCCCGTAAACCTCGCAAAGGGGAATCAACATACCAGCAAGTATTGAAACCTGAAAAAAACATCAAATAACATTAGTGCATGGCGTATGGTCAAAAACTGATAAGATTTCACTATGGAATTCCCATCTCTCATTTATGTGGAATTCGAAAGAGAAGAATCTTTCAACAAACTTGTATAAAAACTAGCTCCATTGATATTTTTTCATTTCATATGGCACACAAGAATATTCGCATACAAGCATGGATCATTTAAAAAATCCTACCATGCCATGTAAAGAGAAGATCTGGACACAATCTACCGATGATATTCCAACAAGAACATTAAAAAATGGAGCATAACTGATCAAATAGCTCTCACTCCCAGAATAGTCCGAAGGAACTGGCAGTGACAACAAACTTGTAATGAAGAGAATGACATGTTCCTACAAACAAGCAAGACCGAAATAAAGCAGTAATTCGTACGAATAGAAGAAAATTTAGAAGGGGGAAAATCTGAAGCATTCAAGAATTGCAGTGACAATGTCGACAGTAATGCACCCTGTAGGAAGTAACCTTCCATCAAATTATCTGTATATTCCAACCACGAACTAGAGATGCCCCACAAAGAACGCTGGCAGCATATATCTTCTCATCATCTGAACTTTTGGTTGCTTTCTCTATCTCCACTAAGCTTCCATCAAATCCATGAGTTCAAATTCAGTTATACAGAAAATGCTACTACTATGAAGATGAAACAAATTGTCCCTAAGCCACCTTACAACTAACCTCAATTGTAACTGGAACTAATTAACTTCAAGATGAAAAAAGTAATGATAACGTGGGCAGTAATTTGGAGAAAAAAATATTAAATCTAAATCCTATACGACCAACTCATGAGCTGTATATAAAAATAATAAGGTAGAATGTTACAGTTGACTTGTTGACATCTTTTTTCCATCGAATTTATGAGCTCCTGAATTGAGATCTTTAACTATTATAGTAAAATAAAATAGATCGCAGTCAACTCGTACAAACAAGCAATAAATATAAACATTGTGAAAACGGAAAACCAAAAGCACGAGCAAATAAATTAAAACAAATCAGTGAAGGCAAAAGGCATTCTGGTAAAATCGAAGCAACTGTACAAGGAACTTAACGAACAAGGAATATCAAATATGAAAATTCTTAAAAAACCATGCATTTCCTTTCAGATACTAGACATGATAAAGAATAATAGACCGATCTATTCTATGAATTTTTATGCTCACTGTTATTCAGAAAAGAAGTGGATGACAACTCTTTTAGGAATAACAGAACCAGAGTTCAGAGTTTGATGTTTGAGTCAAAAAACCCATCTTAGTAAAGAAAAAGTTTCCCGAACTACACACCCGAGCAACCCTGCCACACCGTTTAGTAAAGCAAAGGGAAATATATATATAAAGGGATATGTGTTGCAGTATACCTGGAAGCTGGAGTTGCAATCAAAGCGTTTGTCAATGTCGGAGTTAGAGGGCATCCTTTCACCAGTGATGACCATAAGGAACACTACAGGGTATATTTACACATGCATTTACATAGCCAGGCCAGACATATGCGGATGTGTCCAGTAGATTTCTAGCAATATAAGCCTCGACGATCAGATGCCACATGTTTCCAGCTCCAAGGAATGCATAATATCACAAAATAAACCAAATTAAGGGAAACTTTTACTAGAAAATTGGAAAATTAAGGGAAAAAACAACTAAGAGAAGACGAGAATTTAGAACTATCTTAAGTGAATGAACAAGAAAAAAACATTTACTAGAAAAGAAATCTGATTTATAAAGAGGGGAGTGAGAGATTCATGATAATAGTGTTCTACCAGTATAGTTCAGTCAGGAAAATCAACCAGATCAAATAATCAAAGCCTCCTATATGGTTGAATTTTATAAAGGACATACTTGAGGGGAAATTCACGAAATTTAAATATGATAAAAGAGTAGCAAGCATTATGCCTCTTGCGCTCACTAGGAGTCTCCACTAAAGTTGACTCATGCATGAACACATCTCAGAACGGCCATAATGGATTGGTAAGTTTCATATATTGAAGAAGAGGATAGGGTCACTTACAACAATTCAAGGGCATGTCATTAATGTTCATGCACTCGTAGTATCCATTACCAACTGTGAAACCAGAAATAAACATGATTGCTTTGGCAGCAGCTTGATCAGCTGCCGAACGAACTGATTGAGGAGGAGTCAATAACGCCTCAAAATCATTCAACATCTGTAAGCTGGAAATTAAATCCTTACAACATCTCCCAGGGGCTTGTTTCTCTTTTGTTTGGTTGGTTTGGCTGCAATCACTTTCATCAATGAATTCACATTCCTCT